TTTTTTTTTTTTTGGCTCATTGGTTCCTTTATTTTTTACAAATAACCTTTTGTTATATTCCTTGTTACATAAGTCTAATTGTAATTTGAAATAAATCATTTCTATTTGGAAAAAAGTAGTCATTCTTTAGTTCTTTGCGATGTAAGTGGTTTAAGCTAAAAGTGAAAAACATGCAGATTGTTGCTCCTTTTTTGGAGCGAGTAGGTGCAATTTGAAAGGAGCAAGATGCGTCTGAGTTGAGTGCTGAGAAATAATGAGCAATGCAGCTTTGAGCGGAGAGCGGCGGGTGAACATCTCACTGAATGAGGAGCGGAAACTTTGTCTGCTCCACTTTGCTCATATGCTCTGATTCAGATATATTCAATAACAGATAAAATTCGAATGATCTGGATCAACTGCTGGTGTGTTTCCCATTCTTTTATGACCAGTCTGATGTCTCTGTAGTGATGTCATGTTTTCAGATCTCAGTTTTAACTTGGTGAATGAAATGAAAAGGGAACTTATAAAATAAGACCCAAGTTGTAATAAACCATAGTTTTCCTTTAAAGTTAGTTATCTGATCTTGAGGTCTAGTCATAACTCAGTTTTAAGACAAATCAATTATTTTTGTTCATACATGTTGCATATTCCTCAACTGATGTGTTTTGGATGACCACATAGCCATCTGGGGTCAGGTTGCTGTCCATCATAGAAAGTAAAGGAGGGATGGGGTAATCAGGGCCTAGCAGTATACATCTGCTTCAGGGTTAGTAAGACATCATCTTTGTGGTTTTTATGTGAGCAGGTGAAAAGATGATTTCCAGTTATCTCAGGTATGTGTTGCATAAATAGCACTGAACATCTAATCACCTGCCAAGTGTGTGTCTCCAAGTGAATGTTGTCCTGCCATCCACATTTAAAAATCACCTGTAACAGTACCATATATTTGTAATATTTATAGCTGTTGACTGGGTATTTGAAATGCTATATTTTGAGTAAGATTCTTTGAAACATTTTATGCTATATTGGAATTCAAAGGTTATAACTGAAAACCTTGCAAATCCAGAAGTGTGAGCTAATAAATGCTGTCAAACTGATGCCAGATGTTTGTCTCTCTGTTACCTGAAAGCAAGATGTTATTTTTTTAAATCAGCTCATTGTCAGAGGATGTACAGTCCAAGAACAAAGAAATGAGAGAACATGATGGAAATCTGGTTTTATGAAAAATGTGATGCAACATGTTTTGCACCAGTGTGAGACTGGTGCTAGTAAGACTGTTAAACATTAGAATGTATGCACATGCCAAACATTCTATATTTCAATGTTTTTGTCATGTTATCTGCCAAACGCTTCCTGAATAATGACATTATTAGTAAAAGGTTTATAGCAAGACTAAAAAAAACGTGTAACACATAACACTTGGTTTTTGGGAGGATTTTTTTCTCTTTGCCTTTGTTGGACAGGTAGCAGAGGTAGAGAAAGAAAGGGGTGTGACATGAACCCAGTATGCATCACAAATTTGTTTTTCACCATTAAGAAAGGATCAAATTGCAATGATTCTGTGCTATCACTTGATGGATTATCAATTAATGAACTGTACAGTGACCTGTAGCAACATCTAGAGGAGAGGAGTTCAAACTGTTTCAGAATACTTATGACCTGAGATGGTTCTACACCTTCATCTGAGTCCAGCTGTGTTTGATTATACTGATTGGACGTGATTAGGAAAGCCACACACCTGTCTATATAAGACCCTACAGCTCACAGTGCATGTCAGAGCAAATGAGAATCATGAGGTCAAAGGAACTGCCTGAAGAGCTCAGAGACAGAATTGTGGCAAAGCACAGATCTGGCCAAGGTTACAAAAAAAAATTTCTGCTGCACTTAAGGTGCCTAAGAGCACAGTGGCCTCCATAATCCTTAAATGGAAGACGTTTGGGACGACCAGAACCCTTCCTAGAGCTGGCCGTC